TGTTTGTTTTGATTGTTGATTTGTGGTTATTAAACTTTCCTGCATAGTTATTTTGGTTTGACCAATATATTAGAAGTAGCATTTTAAGCATTAAATTAAGTAAATAACATTTTTTGTAGAGCAGGTTATGCTTTAGTAATTTTGAATTGCTTTTGGTTATTTTTATCAGAAAATTTGTCCAATTCCTGCATGAACTTACAGGTTTGGCATCACTTGCTGTTGCAAGGATGACTTCCACTAAAGTTGACTTTAGCATGAACTAAGTGTGATATCAAAGTTTTATTTTTTCTGAAAGAAACAACAAGCACTTCTGATAAAATGGATTTTAGTCAATCATTAAGTTGAAGGAGGTAAAAGTGTTTTTTTTTAGTATCCGGGGTAAGTTTTTTAGTTTTGGGTGATAGGTAATAACTATTGGAACATGAGAAGAATTTGTTTTAGCTAGAGTTAATGATAAAATAAAAAAAATGGAAAATAAAATATAAACATTCAACGTTAAAAAACTTTTTTTGAAACTACATACTTTTAGGAACGTTCTTGTCAAATTTCAAATAATTCCATCCACTAGTTTTATTTTTGGAATGAAATATAATGATAGCAATGTTAAATATTATGAATCATAACATGTGGCTGTCAAAGGGTTAATTCATTCCCACACCCATGTTTGTATAATATAAATTGTTCTCTCCCTCTCATTATATATTCTAATCTTGATATTTTGAAGCTTCTCTCTAATTGGCCTCTCTCTAAGACCTACTGCTTGGAATTGTATATATGCAGCAATTTAAATATATAGGCAAATTCAAGTAACTTTATATATGCCACTAACCTGAAAATCTTGACAAAGTTGCTGTTGTTATCTGTTGTAGTCTTGACAGTTTTGTTCAGGATGTAATATTCAACATGTACTGCTTCTAATGTCTTTTCAGGGAGATCGTAGGGATTATGTCCTTTTATATAATGAGTGGGGATAACGGCATGCTTATGTTCCAGCATGTCATCCTTTATCCAGTGCAAAGTGACTCCTAAATAGGCTTTGAAGTAAAATATTAGTCTGTCAGTTTCCAAACATACTTTTAATAACAAAACAGGTTAACTCCAATATTTAAAAAATAACTCAAGTTAGGTGACAGTCTAATAAGGTATCAATGATCCTAAGTCAGGTGTGAAAAACAAACCTCCAAAGTTGTATAGTTTAAAAAATGTGAGAATATTAGAAACTAAAAAAATTAGAAATTATTTATTATTCAATTACCTGTTTCTCCAACTCCAGCAGTCAGCAGTGGTAGTGACAGTCTTGACTACCATTAGCTAGGAAAGCTACTTTTTTCCTTATAAGCATCATTCATTTACCTCATTAATGTTCTTTGTGAAATGATTGTTCTTATTGACTGTAGTGATGTGATTAAATTTCTAAAGGCTGTGGACTCGACAACTCCAAATGACCAAAACTCTGAAACCATGAAGTCCAATATTAAGTTATTCAGCTTTTGTTGAGACACTCGGGAGCTTTGCCCAAATATTAGAAGCTGTTGTTTTTTCTTGATGATCATATGCAAGCTTTTTAGACATGTTGTCATTACCTTCATTTGATTTCACCGTTCACTTGTTTCATGCAGCACTTTGTTTCACTGTAGACTTGAATTCTGTAGCAATGGAGAAATAGTTTATGGACACAGGTTTTCTTAAGTTGCTTGCAGATTTACTATTTGCATTGAATGTTTTCTGTAAAGCCAAGCAAAGCAAGCGTTCATATAAGTTATCACCACTACTTCTTCCAGTAAACTTAAAGTATTTGTTGAGATATAGCCATGGGTTACATCAAAAATTTTGCTCAAAATTCTGCCACTTTCGTATGATATAATGCTGCACATAACGTCCCACTCTAGCAGCTTATAGACATCTGTCAGAAAATACACATCAAAGGTACCCTTGATTAGTGTGATGACCCTCACTACAAGTCCACAGATTCACAACTCGGCTATGTTTCAGCAAGAATTCATCTCAATACTTCATTCTTCTGCTGTTATTCCAATATTACTACTATCTAAAAAGTATGTTATTTATTATATGTATGAGTATTTTTATTAATTTTTTTTTATTGTTTTAACTACTAATTTTTATCAGTTATTTTATATTTTTAAGTATGTTAATAGGCTATAATATTACTGAATTTAAAAAGTAATGAGTAAAGAATAACACATTGTTTGGACTAAAAATTTAACAATGTTACCAAAACTGTTACTAAATTTGAAAAGTAGTTTGGAGGTTTTGCATGGTTTCAGGTTTAACTTCTAAGGTTGCCATGTACTTGTCTCAATCTCTGCATCATCCCATGATGGACATTTATCAATGGAAATGGCACACCTATTGACAATGATGTATTTCAAGGAGGTTAAACACACTTTGTCCAGATGTGCCAACCATAGCTTGGTTTTGACCTGGCTCTTTGACAAGGGTTTTGCATCTTCCACAATCACCCTATATAAGCGACCTTATCAGCTTCCTTCAGATACTTGAAGAGATGGAAATTCTTTTAAGTCCTCAGTGCTCTCCGGCCTCCTCAAGTCACTTCAGGTCCTTCATCCAAAACAACCCTTTCAGTTACTTAACTGGAATGTAAAGGTGGTGTTACATGCTCTTTTTCAATATCCGTTTGAGCCCTTAGCCTCATGTACCATACATATTACCTTTCCCTTAAGGTTTATTTTTTTTAATGCTGGCCTGCGGTCATCACTGGTCATTTGTGCTGCACATGCACAACATATCTTATCAATCGGGCTACACCTTTCTATACCCAAACGGGTCCTTCTTACCTAAGACACTGGCAGCCCAGGAAGGGGATAAGTCCTTTCACTGATTTATCTGACCGCTATTTCTTACCTCTCTCACTGATCGGATCCTGATTGTTTTTTTGTTGTTTTTTTTTGTTATGTCCAGTAAGGGCCTTGAAGTGTTATGTTGCCCGCACTAAGGCTTTTGGATGTGTTAGATGTGAGCTTTTTAATCACTGTGACCCTCCAGTTTCCTGGGATTTATCCCCGGGTTAACTTGATGGGATGGGTATGAAAATTGATCCTTCTTACTTATTCTGGGCTCTCTTTGGAGGTGAAGTGATTTCTGCAAGTTATGTCTCATCAGATTCATCACATTTCTATGTCCTTAGTGGCCTGGTTGAATTTCCCACTGGAGGACATTGTGTTGACTGGTATGTGGACATCTCCCCCAATACTTTTAACTCACATTATTTTCATTATCTGGCAGTTTCTTCATCTGAGGGTTTTTCGTTAATAATCTCGTCTCTTCTTTCCTTTCCATGGTCCGCTACCTCTTTTTCACAGGATCCCACTCTGTACTGAGTGTTGCTCAGTCAGGTGTGCTTTTATAAAACCAAATCTGCACTAACAACAACTAACAAAATATACTTTATCTAGGTTACAATAAGTTCTGTAGAAATGAAGTGTTCCATAAGACCACCTAGAGGCAACCCGGATGGTAATACTGTACTATGCTGGACTGTCACTCATGAATTATCTTGAGTAAAGCATAAGGGGATCCTGCCTGTCTCTGCTGATCAGTGGATTGCATAAATCAGGGTTGGTTTGCTTTTTAAAATCTGGGAACTTGTTTTACATGTTGCACTGTTTCCAGAGTGTTGTCCCTCAGAACTCCCCAACATGCATTACCCCCTCCTTCATATTCTACTAGTGGAGTTAAGGAGTCCTAACCACTTTCAGTTTCCAGTCACTGGGGTGGTGGACAGAGGTTATTCCTCCAGTGTTTGACTGATTTTTCTCCACTCAAGGAGAAGAGGGCAAAGTTGAGGGTTCTCCTCCCCATGACCCTGAATGTTTTTTTCCCAGATGTTAGTAGGAAGCCTACTTATAATACTGGTTCAGATCTGATGCTCAGCTATTTGGTTGGGTTGAGCGTGGCTCTTCATTTTGATCAATATTGGTTCAGTACATTGTTAATGGAAGAGAGTTCACTGTCTCGTCGTGATTCTGAATGAAGAGTGGTCCCATCCTGGGTTCTTGGTTGAGCACTGTTTGTTCCACATCCTCCCCATAATTCCAGGGGCAAGTGGAATTTACCTTGCTCACATGGTTGGGGAGTGAAGATGAATGTTCATAATTCCAGACCCGATGAGTTTTGTCTCTCCCACCCTTCCTCCCCACTAATAGCTGATGTTAGAGACTGTGGATTGGGTCATTCTCAAAAAAGTGACAATATTATCTGAAGGATGTGCTTATATATCATACTAAAATAAAGGGAGCATTGACATAGGTGGAGAGTGTCACAAGACAGATATCACCAAGGGCAATTAAGTGGGGAATAAAAGACTGGAGCAAGCAAGAAAAAATTGAGTAATAACTGTTGTGTGAGGAGTGGAGGTAAATATTATTGGAAATACATATTGATTTAAGAATATGTGTATTTTTGTATTCAGTTAGAAACATGGTCTTCAATATGTTGAAATAATTTTCTTTTTATAAAGCTGGTGGATCCACTTAATCCATTACACTCACTCTAAATATTTTAGCCATGTGACAAAATTGTTCTGTGAAAATTACTACTATATGACTTTATAACTAAAACTCGAGTTTCGATACCCATGGTGGACATAGCACAGATAGTTTATTGGGTAGCTTTTGCTTAACAAGAAACAAACCAACTTATGCGACAATAGGAACTGTAAGAACCAGCATGTATCTAAGTAATGAAAGAGTGGAGATGAGAGAGAGAGAGAATGAAAATATTTAAGTTTTAACAAAACAAAAAATAGCTATAACTAGAAATAGTACGAGTACTTCTCTGAATACATTTATTTCTAAAGCATTGATTTTGAAGAAATGTACCTCCATTTGGCTAAGATACTAATGATAATATTAGCTGTGTACCACTAGTATTTAATGGTGAAGGCTTTTATTATGATGTAGCAATATATAAATTATATTCAAACATATTCTTATTAACAAAAATAATATTAATACTTACAGAAACTGGAGAAACCATTTCTTTAGAAGGATCTTCACATTTTATTCGTGGGAAAGAGCAAGAGAAAAATTCTGATCAAGTGTCAGGAGAAAATGAGGTATCAATCTTTTAAAAACTTCACTGTTTTCTTGTTTTATTATTAGAGCACAATAACTACAAATATATTTTCTTTGATAACTTATATTGTCTTGATAAATATAGTTCTCTGTGTCATCTCTACATTTTTTATACTAGTTTTTTAAATAACTACAGTGTTGCTTCTAGGATTTTTCTCAAGTGGCCAAAATCCCCCACTGACTTCCAGGAAGTGGGCCATCCATGTAATGAAGTAGGTATCAACTTTACAAATCATAAAAGCATAAAATGATTAAGTAACTTTTATTTGAAGAAACAGTAAAGTGAATCATTGCACTTTGTTTCATTTCTGTATGTACTGAATATATCTACACATTCACTGACAAAACTTACATTGCAGTCATTTTCTCTGCATTTTTTCCATTATTTATTTCTATTTGTGCATCATTTTGATGGAAAAATATAGTAATTTTTTTGAAAATAAACTGCTTCTTGAACATTTTTGTACCTTTTGTTTTTTTCACTATTTTCAATCATTGATACCTCTTAATATCAAGGAAATCTCCTGCAAAACCAAATGATGTCAGTCATAATACAGCCAATCACATCCTTTTGCGTATCCACATGAGCTAATTTACTGTTCAGAATTTTCCAGTTATGATTGCAATCTGTTGTTACAAATCATTCATAATACATTTCAAAGGGTGGGCACGAAAAATTAAAATGCGTACTTTTATTTTTTGTGTGAACTAGTGTGCAGGCAAATGGTTATTTTGCAACATACAGTCTTTTAGTTTTAATAATTTTTCAGATGTGTGTGTGTGTGTGTGTTATAGCAAAGCCACTTTTTGCTATCTGCTGTGTTCACCATGGGGAATATAACCCCAGATTTTAGCATTAAAAGTCCACAGACTTATTCATAGACTTGTAGACAATGTGATCCTGGAGTAATCATTACTAATGTTTTTGGTGCAGAACCTGAAGACAATCATTGCAGATTGCTCAGATGCTTTAACTAGTAGATCCTACAACTCCTTTGTTATTATTGGTTATAAGCAGCAAATAAACGTTAGAACTACTAAAAGCTTTTTTACAAATATAATACATTATTATCATTCATTTATTTTAAAAAGATTTATGAATGTGGTTGAGAATAAATCAATCATAATTTGATCAAAGTCATACTACTAAAGTCAGTTCTTGAAACTGTACAAAAGAGGCTGGAATGTCATAAGTATATGTAGATAGGTAAAGGTTTGGGAAATGAGAATTTGGGCTTCAGAAAAGTAAAGATTGGATATTTTGATGATATCCATGAGCTACATATTTCATACACATTAGAACAGTGTAGTAGTGCTTTATTATACGTGTATATTTTTACTTTTTAAGTATGATATTCTACTAAGAAGAATGCTTTTCTCCTGAAAACTTCCTAGACTTTAATTGTTTGTTTTCTTAATAAAACTTTTATATGATTATCTGAGAGATGAAATTACAAATATTATAAATAGAATAATGTTTTTACATAAGATTCCAAAATATATTGTGCTTTTTTAGTTTAGTATTTTTAACCTAATTTTTCTCTAAGTGTTTAAATGTTTCGAGTTTAGTTTTAAAATGTGTGTGCAGCAATATATATTATTTATTTTATTCTGATATTCTCTGCTGCCTCAATTTTAATCAGTAAATATCCTGGTTAAAATAATTACTATTACCTAACATTTTATTGTTACATAAAATTGATAAAACACCAGCCATTGAAGCTACTGTGTTTTCTATTTCAAGTAATTCTCTGGTCATGATATTATGTGGTTTACTGAAGAAACTTATTAGACATTAATTCACAATAAAATGCTAGTTGTAGCTCTTCATGGTTTAAAACAAGTGAGCTTGGAAAACTAACTATTTATATGCTTTAATGGTGGCAGTGTTGTTAGTTATTGGTCTGTGACTTTTTATATCTTAGAACATGTTTGTCAGAGTGAAAACTGAACAGCCTGATGAGTTACAACAAGATGACATTACTTCCCAGTTCAGTGAGAGTGATGATGAGAATGTTCTAGACATTGCAAAACATGATATTACAAGTGTGACAAAAAATGAATTTCAAGAAGAGTTGCAACATACTGATTCTGTGTTGGAAGGTACATCAGGTGAGTGTAATTATATATTTCAGAAACTTTGTTAATAATATAGTGCAAGGAATGTTTGTAAATAAATGACAGTTCTTTTTAAGTTAAATCTTAGTAATCACATAGAATTTTTAGTACTAGTATCAGAGGAATAAACAACTTAAGCTACAGCAGGTACTCATGGTGTTGTGCTTGTTCTACTTCAGGAGCTCCTATAAGTGTTGTTGAGATTAGATTTGATGGACATTTCTAAAAGCTTCTTCACACCATCCACTTTATATGATTCTACCTTTGTCCAGTTTACACAATATACTTCTTCTTTAGTTGTGTCCTAACTTAATTCCTCTGTCACTCTAAGCTTCTTTTAATTTTCCTTCCTCTATTTAGTTTACACTATGAACATATTATCTTGTTAAGTCCTGGCTCAAATCCCCTTTACACTTTATGCTTCCTTTCATGTTGTCCCTGACCTAATTTCGATAACACTGTTAGCTTCCTTTCGTGTTGTGTCTTCTATATAGTTTATATTAAAAACGTTTTTCTTTGATATTTTCTTACTCTTTACACCATAAGCTTCCTTTTAAAGTTGTGCATACCCACTTTATACTGTAAAGTTCTCTTCTAGTTGCACTTTGATCAGTTTTCCTTACACTATAAGCTTCCTTTTTGATTGGAGCCAGGCATGGTTTTACAGTTAGCATGCCAGATATGACCGGTAATTTGACTTCCAGTATTTTCACTCCCCATGCATTTCACTCCTTGTAAATTAATTCACTAATGTCAAAAAATAATCAACAATAAAAGTAACATTTATTAAAAATTATTTAAAGTTATGAGCTATTCCTCGTAAAAAGTCGATCTTGTTTTTTGGGTTGTATTCCAGCAAGAACAACTTGCAGCTATTTGTTCGCATGTTTAAACTTTTTTTGTCATTGTTGTCACCCCAATCAAATTGTACTTTCTTCAATTATGCTAAATATTCTTCTTTCTTCAAAGTTACAATTAATTTCCAAATATTGGATGCATGCACATCACTGAGCTTTGAAGTGCAAATTGTTGTTCCAAATTGTTGTTGGTATGAAGCCTATCTTTGTTCTTTTCTGTTACAGACATTCCAAGTGTCAATAGGAAATATTCGAGTAATTCTTTGCCTTCAATTAGCTTGACCTATTTTGCAGCAAGTATGGAACACTAAAACATATTTTTTGACATCAATAAGGTATTACTGGGAGTTAAATTGCTAGGAGTGAATTCTCCTACAATCTATGCCAGACTGTGGATCTGGGGGTTCATAGTTCTCATCTCCTTGCCATTAAAAAGATCATATTCCTCACTCTGGACACACAGATTGCATTTTACAAGTGACAGTCAAATCCATATAATTGGTTAAATGGTGAATACTGTTGACTAACTGTTTTGTCTCTAGTCAATGATTTCAAAACTTATGTTACTTAGTGTGCAGATAATCTTTGTTCAGCTTTTCACAAATATCAGAAACAAACCAAACCTTTCTGCTTGTGACCTCTATCCACTTTACACTATAAGATTCCTTTTCAGCTGTGTGCTATATTGCATATATGTAGTAATATTTTTAGTTTTGTCCTCTATCCACTTTACACTATAAGATTCCTTTTCAACTGTGTGCTATATTGCATATATGTAGTAATATTTTTAGTTTTGTCCTCTATCCACTTTACACTATAAGATTCCTTTTCAACTGTGTGCTATATTGCATATATGTAGTAATATTTTTAGTTTTGTCCTCTATCCA